TAATCAAGATATCAATATGACCTTAACATCAATAGATCACACACATGGTATCATAAAAATGGGAAGAAACTAAGTTTCTTAGTGTGTCAACTATGAATTATCCAGCTAGTTTGCCTATTGAACCTAGATCGTGGGATCTCCAGTCAACTAGGTTAGGTTACCACCATATATTTCATTTCATAGGCTTTAGTCCCATTTCCCTCGATGTATATGCAACTTGCTCTCGAGATAATCCTTTCATCAAATGATTTGCAACATTCTCTTTTAATTTTACATAATCAATGGAAATCATTTCATTAGAGAGCAATTGCCTGGTAGAATTATGTCTGCGTCTTATGTGTCGTGACTTCCCATTATAGACATTATTCTTAGCTCTCATTGAGGCTGCTAAGCTGTCACAATAAATACATATGGCACTTACTGGCTTCGGCCACAATGGAATATCTTCAAGAAAATTTCGTAGTTATTCTGCTTCTTCTCCAGCTTTATCAAGAGCTATAAACTCCGATTCCATAGTAGACCGTGCTATACACGTCTGTTTTGAAGATTTCCATGACACAACTGCTCCACTTAAGATAAATATATACCCACTGGTTGATTTAGTCTCCATGCTATCAGATATTCAATCAGCATCACTAAATTCTTCCAGTACAGATAGATATTTCGTATAATGCAATTCATAGTCGACAGTGTACTTCAAGTACTTTAAAACTCTGCTAGTGCATTCCAATGATCATGCTCAGGATTGCTAGTGTATCTTGCCAATCTTTCTACTGAATAGGGAATATCAGGTCTTGTACAATTCATTATGTACATTAAACTACCCACAACTCTAGAGTATTCTAGAGAAGATACACATTCACCATTATTCTTCTTCAACTTACAATTTGGATCAAACAGAGTAACTACTGACTTACTCTCAAAATGACCAAATTTTCTCAACACTTTCTCTACATAATGAGATTGAGAAAGTATATATTTATTTGGATTTCTTGTTATTTTGATTCCAATGATAACATCGGCAAGACCAAAGTCTTTCATATCAAAGTTGGAATTCAACATTATTTTAGTGGAATCAATGACACTTCTACTTGTGCCCATTATCAAGATATAATCCACATATAAACAAACAATGGTGCAATATTGATCTATGGTTTTAATATAGACACATTTGTCACACTCATTTATCTTAAATCCATTAGATAACATAGTGTGATCAAACTTCTCATGCCATTGTTATGTGCTTGTTTCAACCCATAAAGAGACTTTACAAATTTACAAACTTTATTTTTAAGTCCTTTTACAACAAACCGTTCAGGTTGTTCCATACATATTTCTTCATCTAAGTCTCCATTTAAAAACACAGTTTTTACATCCATTTGGTGTATTTCCAAATTTTGTAAAGCTGCTATAGCAATTAACCTCCTTATAGATGTAATCATCGTCACTGGAGAATAGATATCAAAGAAATCTAGCCCTTCTTTCTGACGATAGCCTTTAGCAACTAAACAGGCTTTATATTTATCAATAGTGCCATCAGCTTTTAGCTTTCTTTTGAAAATTCATTTACTTCCAATTGGTTACTTCCAGGAGGTAAATCAACCAATACCCAGGTATTGTTATGTAAAATGGATTCTATCTCACTATTGATAGCTTCTCTCCAATAAGGTGCATCTGGAGAAGACACAACTTCTTGAAAATTTTGAGATCTCCTTTTACTTCTTCTATGTTCGATCTCAGTTTCCTGATCGTTTTGACATTTTGAATAGCTAGCCTCATGATTCCTTTTGGTACCATTACCTTCTAGTCTTTCTTCTTTAAAATAAAATATATCCTCAAAGAATTCAGCTTCAATAGATTCCATAATAGTATTGTTATTAATATCAGGTATTTCTGATTTAATCACCATAAATCTATAAGCAGCAATATGCATAATGTCGCAACGTCATCGCGACGCGGAGCGGCCGACGTCATCCTCTGAAGGGTCTCTTTCGAGATAAGGGTTTGAAGTCACCACCAATCATCTACGAGGTGTGATTGGTCACCTATTTTAAAAACTTGGTCTGCGAAAACAGATTTTAGGTTCGGGAGTCGACTGAGCGTAGGGAAAGTGTTAGTACCCTCTGACACCCGTCCGAAAACGGTACCACATTTTGTCAAAAATTATCCTATTATTTTATTTGGTCCAAAAAAATGTTTTTATTTTATTTTAAATGTCTCATATTATATTAATTCACATTTTGTAATAAAATATGAATGTATACCTATGAGTGGCACGAAGGCCATTAGAAAAATTTTGACACCTCGAGAATAATGGAAGGTTCCAATTCCCGTCATTTTAATTTTAGAGAACATCAAGACTTGAACTTGTGACATGAGTGTTGACACTGAAACATCACAGCAATGTGCCACCACTTTGAGATATAAGTTAAGATTCTTTTTAAAATACATTTTTTTAAATACAAACGTTTTATTTTTAAACTTCGTGAAGGGAAAAAAAATATGAAGAAAAATATTTATTTTATTTTGAGTTTGAAATTCGTTTAAAACTTTTTATTTAAAAAATCTTAAACTTATTTATAGCATCATTTATTTTAAAACAAGCTTTTGCTTAATTTGTAATTTGGTAATTATTTATTTTTATTTAACACTTTCATTCACTTTTGAAATAAAAATTTTACTTTTAATATTTTCCTAAAAAATATATAATTTTTATTTTTAAAACTCAACACTCATTATTTAGGAAAAAAAGAAAATTATTTTAAAATCAAAATAAAATCTTTTATCTTTTAAAAGAAGACTTATAAAAAGACTTGTATAAAAAAAACTGAAACAAAATCTTCTTTAAAGAGAAAAACAAAATTAGCAAAAGAAAGAAAAAACTTATTTTAAAGGTTAAACAAAAAAGGTAAATTTCTTTTACCTTTAAGAAAACAAAGTTTTATTTTTCTTATTTAGGAGCTTCTTCTTCTTTTTCCATAATCCACATTCACGGTGGTTGTAATGGAGGACCCTTGCCGGAGTGCCGCTGCTCGTGGAGGTGTAGATTTGGACGGGTTTGTCGTTGGAGCTGCTGTCGCTGCCGATTTGCCGTGCCGGTCGCTGGAGTCTTTTTTGTCGGAGGATGTGCGCCTTCACTAGTGGATATCGGAATGGATCGTCGGCAAATGTGTGAGCTTGGGAGAGGGGTTTTTGAGAATGAAAAGGAGGAAGAAGAAGATAAAGGAAGAAGATGAGTTGTAGAGAGAAAGAAAAAGGAAGGAAAAAAAAAGTAAAAGAAAAAGAGAATGGGTGTTTGAATTTGAAGAGAGAGAAATGTTGAAAAGTGAAAAACAAAAATTATATTGTTTCCCTCTCCCATGCGTTTGTGTTTTTCTGTATTTTTTTGTGTCCCCCAAATCTGTCCCTTCCCTCTTCTTAAATAAGCAAAAAAAAATGCAACGGTAACAATAGGGAGGGTCAAAATTGAAGAGAGAAAAAAAAGGAAGAAGATAAAGGAGAAAAGGTTACGTTACAGTAGTGTTGACGAGTAAAACAGAATCAAAATAAATTTTATTAAAAAAAACTTATTTTTTTTAAATTTAAACAAATCTTTTTATTTGAAACAAAATTATTTGCTTAAAATCAAATCTTATTTATTTATTTATTTTAATAATAAATCAAATTCTTTTAAAACAAAATCTATTTTTAAATTTAATTAAAACCTTACCTTAAAACTAATAATAAAGTAAAATATGTTATTTTTAATGAAAACAAATAAAATAAAATTTTATAAAATAAAATATTAATATTAATGTTAATAATAGATAAATAAAAATAATAAAATTTGAGTCGGACCAAATACGGTGTCAACACATAGTATAGCCTATAAAGACACAATCAACTGTCTTAGGTCCAAGTTTTGTCCTTTTTGGTAAAGGAATCTTTGTCAAACACCCCACACTTATATGTGGGTAACTTCTTTTTCCACACTTATGACTTATTGGTCTTCTTATGTGGAATTTTATTTAAGATAAAATTTGCTATAAGCAAAGCCCCCCACAAATTATGGGGTAGACCTGAACTATTTAACATACAATTGACCATGTCCTTCAAAGTTCAGTTCTTTCTTTCAGCTACATCATTTTGTTGTGGTATATTAGGTGTCGTAGTTTGATGGATTATACCATTAACTTCACAAAATTCAGAAAGTGATGACGATTCATATTCACCACCTCTATCTGATCTAAACACTTTTATTTTCTTCTCAAGTTGATTTTCAACTTTTGCCTGATTTGATTTGAAAACATCTAAGGTCTCATCTTTACCATGTAATAAATATACATAGTAATATTTACTACAATCATCAATGAATGTGACAAAATATCTCTTACCACCTCTTGCGGGAGTACTTTTCAAATCACAGACATCACTGTGGATTAAATCAAGTGACTAATTACTTCTTTACACAGACGAAAATGACTTTCTAGAAAACTTTGATTCGACACAAACTTCACATTTGTGTCTATTATCAATATTAAAATTAGGCAATAGTCCTACACTTACCATTCTTTGTAAAGAATGATAATTGACATACCCCAACCTAGAATGTCATACATCACATAACTCAATAATATAAGCAGAAGAGTTGTTATTATTATTGTAATTCTTGGGCACTTGTGCTAGTACATTCAATTTGAACATGTCATTATTTAGATAATCCTTTCCCACATACATACCCCCTTTAGTATAAAATTATCTGACTGAATTACGAGTTTGAACTCATTTTTGTTAAGTAAGGTTCCTGACACAAGATTCTTTCGAATCTCTAGCACATGTCATACATCAGTGAGGGTAAGTATCTTTCCAGAAGTCCATTTCAGCAGGACTTTTCCTCTGCCTTCCACTGAGGCTGTTGAAGCATTTCCCATGTACAGTTTATCACTGTCATCTAGCTTCTCATAAGTGGTGAATAGTGATTTGTCCCCACAGACGTGCCTAGTAGCACTAGTATCAATCCACTAGCCTTTGGTGTCAAAGACCATATTTACCTCAGAGATAACAGCAGTTAAATTGTCATCTTCTATAGTGTTGGCCTCGTTGTTAGAGTTTTGTCCCTTCTTGTGTCTACAGTTTGCAGCTATATGGTCACTCTTGCCACAAACCCAGCGGATTGCACGAATGCGCTTGTTAGCGTTATTCCTTGGCCCAAGATTCACATTCTTTGTCTTGAATTGATTCTTTTTGGGATGACGCCTTGAAGCTTCAGCAATATGGGCATTAGCTTCAACTTTACGTGGCTCTTTGTCTCCCTTTCTGTTGTCCTCTTCAATGCGGATTTTCACAGTAAGATTCTCTATGGACAACTCCTTTCGCTTGTGTTTGAGATAAGATTTGAATTCTCTCCAAGCAGGAGGCAACTTCTCAATCACACCAGCAACTTGGAATGATTCATTAATAACCAATCATTCACTTTTCAAATCACTGATGATAATTTGCAATTCTTTCAACTGTTTGACTACCAACTTGGTATCAACTATTTTATAATCTTAGAATTTTCCAACAAGGAATTTCTTAGTACCAGCATCTTCCAGCCTATACTTCTTGTCTAATGCCTCCCACAATTGTCTTGAAGTATCAAAGGCATTGCAGTAGACATTATACAAGGTATCATCCATGCAATTCAGGATGTAGTTGCGACATAGAAAGTCTGAATGTAACCATGCTTGCTTGGTAGCTTCAATTTCAGGAGTGATTGCTTTTAGGAGAGTAGTTGGGCATACCTCCTTTAAGATGTAAGCAAGATTTAGGGTGGTGAGGTAGAAAATCATCTTCTGTTGCCATCTTTTGAAGTTTTCTCCCTTGAACTTCTTTAGTTTTTCAGCATGAGATTTGACAATGGTCGATCCCATCATCGAAGAAGCGTTGGTGGAAGTGTTTGTAACCATTAGTTAATTGTCTTCAGATTGTTGGGTAAATATGTATATGTAAACTGAATAATACCAGTAACAATTTACAACGTAATTGGCTACAAACAATTATAGATCTTCACAACTTGATGAACACCAAAACTTGATCAAAATAGTCGAGGCACGCTTCAATAACGTTGACCTGAAGACAGTTATTCGCTCTACACAAGTTGCTAGCAGGCTACAACGATCGTCTCAGCAGGATACAACAACTAACTCCAGTAGAACTGCAACTTTGAACTACTCGGATCTAGCAGAACTCTTAGCTAGACACTTGCTCTTAACACAAACAAGAACAACAACTCAAGAGAAGAGGGAACTTTTGGGAGAGGAGGAATAACTCAAAATGAGAAATGCTTGGATATCTCAAAATGAAGGAAAACAACAACTATATATAGTTTTCTAAATGTGTAACATCTCCCAAGAAACTTAAACACATATAAAGTTACAATTGTAACTTTAACTAAATAAAGGAAAAAACTTCTTATTTAAAAGATAACTTATCTTTAACAAATATGTAACTTTAACATATTTGTAACTTTAACAAATTTGATGTTACATGACACAAAAGTTGAAACAAAAAGGATTTGTTACACAATCAAATTCTTAATACATAAATTTAATTTCCGGATGTTAAATTTGTATACTCAACGGTTTTTTCAATATCTTCCAGTTTCACTTTCTTTCACTATTAAAAATCCAACAATAATAGGATAATCCTAATTATAATAAGAATAAGACATCTAAATCAAATACATTCCAATCTTAATAAGAAACATAAATAATATCGAAACATATCTTAAATTATATCAAATCATATCATCCTCCCTCAAGTCGGAGCATGGAAGACATAAATGCCTCACTTACAAAAAACAGCAAATTCGATTTTCTGATTTATTTCAATTTTCACGACTCCATTGCAATTCACCACAATCCATGCAAATACACTAGCTCCCAAAAAAAAAAAACCATTCCAGCTTCAACTTTGAGCACATGGCCAAAAAACCCAATTTACCACCGCAACATGAGGAAAAATAATAAACCAATTCACCACCTTGCTTCTTTGATCACACATTAAATCTCCTCTGTAATTAACCTAATTCTCCACCGGAAATAGGCAGCGGCTGCCGCAATTCCAAACGTATAATTTTGATAATCATATCATATGATGTTGTCCCGAGAACGGTTTACAGTTAGGTGGGAATTGAAAAAGGACGACCCCACATGGTAAAAATGTGAGACCCAATGCACACAATTTAGTCCAAGTATTTTTAAATTGTTATAATTTAGTCCAAAGTATTTTTAAATTGTTATATGTAACAATAGTCTTAGTAGTTTAACACTCTTAAAAATTGGTGGAGAAAAATCTTATCAAAATCAAGTGTCAATTTGCTCGAGACTAAATTTACCATTTACCTACTAAAATACTTAAATAATTACAAACTAGAGTTGAATTGTTACCTATTATACAAGAGGAAGTTGCGTCATGGGATAAAATACTTGAAATTGGGAGCTTAAAAGAAGCCGCGCGAACGCAGGCCCCCACTGCCACAAATAATGACGTAGGCTCTGCCGCTTTTGGGCAGACCTTGGGCGGGCACCCTTCTCAGATGTGCAATGGAGGTCACCGGCCTAGGCCATGGGCCTTCTTGATCGCCCATTCACCCCGTCCAGGTAAGTATGTTTCAATGTTCGACATTGTTTCTATTTATATCACTTCTTCAGGTTCTCCTGGCGACTACTTAGCCGATGTGGGTCTTCTCAGTTCACTCTTTAATGCTTAACTTGCATTGGGAACTAAACTATTCATTTCCTAATATTCCTATTTTTCTGTTTTACAAATCTACCCATTGCTTCATTCTTCTTTTGTTTCTCATTTCTTATATTATTATTCACAAAATGTTTCTAAAAATTGTATACAAAATTTTCATATAAAATCTAGTTTATTCTTTCTAATTTTATAATAAACTAAAACATTATTTGTTTATATAATATATATTTAAAAATTAAATATAAAATTATAATTTTAATATTTTACTTTTTAAAAAAGTTTCAGATTTGAGATTAAGAAACAAAATTGATTCACAACAACATATCTTTGTTTTTTTAACTCCAAATGTTTGAATGTTTATTCAATTTTGTTCCTATCAAAAGTTTTTATTTATTTATTTTCATTACCACCTCTCTATCTCTCACATTTCCACCTTGATTGACACATCCACGAACTCAAATTCCCAAGTTTATAACTTACTTGAACTTTGAGCGCAAATAACTTGTTGGGTTTGTATGGAGTACAAGAAAAGAGAAATGGGTGATCCATTGTATATACGAAAGGATAATTATCTTCGTTTGTACGAGATCTCTTGGGTGAAACAAAAAATAAAGCGGACAATATCATACAATTGAGGAGTTACTCGAACTACTAGGAGTACCGTTGTCTTTAACATAACTAATTTTGAATTCCTGTGGTGTATAAATCTAATTCTCTAAAGTTTATATATTGGACTTTTTATGTTCAAAATTCAGGAAAATTGAAAATCAAAGGAGTTGGTCATCTTTGAGCCGACTTGCTCTTCCCTCAAAGTAAGACCAATGAATATGTTGGATCGGTATGACAACCCTGGGGGGAGGGGGGTGAATAGGGTTTAATCACAAATTATAACGTAATTTTAACACAAAATTAATCAATAAATTATATATAACATTTCAAGCACCCAGACGTACTTCACAAGATGGATAAGGCTGGGTACCTTATCCTAGTACCTTATCCTAGCAACACTGTGGATACGGCCCACTATGTAAATGTTACAGACGACTCGATCCAGGTCGTTCGTGTGGAGACATGCGAGTGGAGTATCCTATACAATGAGTTTGTATAAGACCGGACCGCGAAATAGCCAATTTTTAGATGTAACACCGTTAACTAACAGATTGCTATTTCTTAGAATGACCAGGCAACTCATTCTCAATCTTGAGTGAGTTGTGGACTCCTGCCCGTGAAGGCTCGTCCTTTGATCTGTATGGGTGAGAGTGGTCCGAGTCAACAACTCAATATTTCTACCATTTTGGGGACGAGACCAAGTGGGGAGCTGGGAACATAACTTCACAAGATGGAATTCACTCCTCCCCGACTTTAGGGAGTAGATGAATGTTCTCTTAAATACTGACTTCAGGACTTAAACAAAGGGCTCCACCCTCTCACTGGCCCGAGAGGGGCTTCCGGTTATTGGTCGGACCATAACCGGGTTGTTCATTAGAGGAGCAATGTTATTTAAGGAGTAAGATGTAACTTAGGGGTAAAACGATAATTTGGCCCAACTTGAGTTACGAGCACTCGTGAAGGATTGACTTGTCATTAATGGTCGTATATCCATGGACACGAAAACATTCTGCAGTGAGAAGAGTGCAGCTGCGGTTCTTTAGTGGAGTGACTCGTAAATGTTGATTAACTCGGTCAATGAGTTTGACCGATTAATCTCGTATCGTTGGAGCTTCTAATCTGTAAATCCATTAAGTCCCCTTACTAGCTCATAATGGGTAAAACGAGGATCAAGAATTATGAAATAATTTGAAATGTTCAAATTATGTAAGGGAATATATATAATGTATATTGATGCATTATATATAAGTATATATTAATTTTTGATAGAGATTCAAAATTAATCCAATACATTATTATGAGAGAAATATTTGAATAGGATTCAAATAATTAATATGAATTGGATTCATATTAAAACTATAGGTTAAAAATTAATGTACCTAAGATGTACATTAAATCTATAGTTATACAAGAGAGAATATGGTTTAATTAAATATGAGATATTTAATTAAATGTTAAATAATTAATTGTTAATTATTTAATATTATATTTAATTAATTAATTATTAATTAGATTAATAATTATTAATTAAAATTTATTAATTATTAATTTGATCAATAATTATTTAATATTTTAATTTTAATTAATTAATGTTATTAATTATTAACTCCCCTACATTTTGTAGTAGGGGGAGTGAGGAGTTTAATGGCGTGGGGTAACTCCCCACGTCATTTTGTTTTGTTTTGAATGCAGAACTGTTATGCAGGAAGAACAGAACAAGAAACAGCCAAGAACTCCCAACATAATTCTCTCAAGCTTTCTCTCTTCTCCAATCCCTCTTGTTCCAAATCGATCGCTCCCATAAGCGAGTTCTCGGTACCTAGAGGATAGCATGGAAGTTCTATTGGTGGTGTTCGGGTTAATCCATTGAAGAAGCGTTCTTCAAAGGTAATGGAAACCTTTATTTTCCCCTGTATTTGCTTTTGCACATGGGTTTGTTTCTCAAAATTGATGAACGAAGATCATCGCTTCCGCTGCGGGATTCACATCCTATCATTTCTAATTGGCTTAACTTGTATACCTACAACAATTCAATCTTTTCTTAAGGTTCCTTAATTGGCTTGATTTGTAGAGTTTTTAGCATAACTAACACCACTAGAATTTTGGGTTTTTGTGACGCCCATGAACAGTAAAATACCGTTGAAGATTATTAAAAAACGTCACGAAACGTAAAATACGCATTTTTGGAGGGAAAAAACGGAGATTTCTGGATTTTTAACATTTCGTGACATTTTTTAACCATCACGAAATGATCATCAAAAAGTTGATTTTTCGTGATGTTTAAAAAACGTCATGAAAGATTAAGGCGCGTTTTTTGCGGGAAATGACGGAGTGTTCCGAATTTTTGACCTTTCATGACGTTTTTCTAACCATCACGAAATGGTCGTCAAAAAGTTGGTTTTTTGTGACGTTTAAAAAACGTCACGAAATGTTGAGGCGCATTTATGGCAGGAAAAGACGGAGTGTTCCAAATTTTTGGCTTTTCGTGACGTTTTCTAACCGTCACAAAAAGTTGAAAGAAAACACGTTTTCCACAGCTTTTAATAAACGTTACAAAATTGAGAGGCACGTTTTTGGTAGGAAAAGACAAAGTTTTTCGGATTTCTAGCTTTTTCATAACGTTTAAAAAACGTCACAAAAAATTATTTTCCGTGACGTTTAAGAATTGTCACGAAAAGATAAGGTTCATTTTTTGTGGGAAAACAATATTTCTTTTGGCTTTTCGTGACGTTTAAAAAATGGTGGAGCGATATTTTTTGCGGGAAAAATATGAAAACTAACGAATTTGCTATCATTTGTGACATTTTTTAAACTCTATAAAAATGTGAGCCGTGTCTTTTAGCAAGAAAATCTCTCTATTTGTGCTCACAAATTTTTGTAAATTTTTGACATTTATGCCACTAAAAGTAAATATGTAATTTACAATTTTTATTCTATTTAAAAAAATGATGTAAAATATTGAACTAGGCGATTTTTTTAACGTCAGGAAAGGTCATAAAATTTGGATATTTCATGAAACTTAAAAACGTTAGGAAATGTTTTACACGTCGGTTTTCCATTTCGATTTTTCTATTTATGAAGTGAGTTTTTCTTATGTTATGTGATTATTATGAATTTTTGTTGGTATATTTAGCTTCAAATGAGTCTCATATGTCTACCCCACCTTTAACTTATGTCTTCAAATTCTTATTTGCTACAGTGACTGGTAAAATTTTATATTATGTCTTCAAATTCTTATTTGCTATAGTACTGTTAAAATTTATATTTCGTGCTTATGATCATTTAATTAAGTTATTTAGAATGTTATTAGGTAAGTTTTTTTGAATGTTATTTAGAATGCCATTAAGTTATCGGGGGTAAGTAATTCATAGATTTTTAGAATTTTAGTTTTCTCTTAGCATTAAAGCCCTGTTGAAGGAATCAAAATAATAATGAATCAAAATGTAAATCAATCATAATGAAATCAATGGGAATGAAAATGCTAATTTAAGATGTTTGAAATCAGAATCAGAAACCAATTCATATTGTTTATGTAACGCCCCGCGTTCTCTAGCTAATTTATTTTAAGATTTAAATTTTGTATTTGGATTTTTCCCTTAAGCTGATAATTTAAACTCTTGAATTTTCCAATTTTAGAGTTCTAATTTTGGGTAAATTAAAATTTAAATTAGAATTCAAGTTTAATTTCATTGAATTAAGATAAATTAAGTTTTCCAATTTTAGAATGGATTTTAATTAAATCTTATTCCTAGAAATTGGAAATTTAATTTCTTCCTTTGGATTTTACTCTTTGGTTTTGAAATTATGTTAATTTCTTAAATAAATTTCCAAAATCTTTTTAATTTTTTTTAAAGGATTACAATTTTCCCCTTTTTCATTAACATGTTATTTTGGGTTTCAGGATTTTTTTT